CGCTGGGCATGGTGACAAGGACCCGGTGAGAGCTGGTGTGCAGAGCGTGTGGTGTACGCGGACGGCTCGGTGAATGGGGAGCACAGGTGCACCTGTCCCAGGCAGCCAGCCCCACGGCGGGGGCTCTGGGCTCCCATGTGCTGCTGGCCCTACACCTACGTGTCCAGTCCCAGGCCCTCCCCGAGCTGCAGCCTCACGCGGCCACGCACATACACCAGCGTCCCGCCGGACGTCCCTTAGACACCCTAACTCCGTGAGTTGAAACGTCAACGCCTGTCTCCTGAACCCGTCTCTCTCTTTCCTGTCCACGTAAGTTAGCAGGAGCTCCATCGTCCCTGGCTCCATCTCACACCTCACTTCTGGTCCGTAGAGAAGCGGCCCCGGCTCCACCGTGGGAGCGCACCCAGGAATTACCACTGGCCCAGCGGTCCGCGCTCCCGCAACCGCCCCGGCCCCCTGGAGTGTCTTCTCAACACAGCAGCGCCCAAGTCCTCACAACGGCCTGCCGGCCCCTCCGTCACCAGCAGCGCCCCAAGCCCTGGACCGGAGCGGCCTTGCTCCCGCTCTGCCCTCCCCGCCCTCTGCCTGGGCTGCACTCGCCATCCCCCTGCTCCTGGATTTCAGGCACCCTCCGCTCTCCCACCCTGGGGCCTGCGCACCTGCTCTTCCCTCTTTCTGGAACGGTCTTTCTCCAAACACCGCCCCCCCCCCATTTGCTCTGGTACCTCTGAGGCCTTCCCAGAGCGCTCTACTGGAAGCTGTCCCTCCTCCCTGCCCGCCCTGCTGCCCCTGCCTCCCCATCGCCTTTCCTTGTCTGATTTTTCTCCGTAGCGCTCATTGCCTCACATGCTACCCATTGTAGCTGCTCTCTCTTCTCTCTCCAATACCACGAATAACCCTAGAGGACAGGCGCTTTCGTCTCCGTTGTCCCCGCTGCACCCCAGAGCCTACACTGGTACTCCATACAAGAAGAAAACCTTGCAAAGGGAATTCTGGAATAGCACGGCCTGGACAGGAGCTGACGGGCTCCACGCCTCGGCCCAGGGCCCGCTCCCCCGCGACTACGCAGCCTTTCCCGCTCGCCCGCTCAGGGACTAGGTTTCCCGGCCCGGCCTCCGGGCCTGGCGGCAGGGCCGCGGGGCGCTGAGGGGGGCGGGCTGCGGCCGCAGGCTTACAGGACGCACGCCATGTCCTGGTGCAGGTCCTGCAGCGACTGCAGCAGGCCAGGCAGCATGAGCTGGTGGTGGTGCTGATGATGCAGCTGCGCGGCCCGCACGCCCAGCACGTAGCGGTTGTGGTGAGCGAAGAGCTTCCACAGGCTGCGCACGTACTTGTCCTTGGCCTTGTCACGGTCCTTGTCTGCCGGGGGAGGAGAGGGCCGGTGGGTGACGGCTCAGAGGCCCCGGGTGGGCCCCACTCCCCGGGCACCAGTGCACAGGTCAGGACTGGCTCGGGACTCCTTCTCTTCCAGGAAGGGAAGCCGCGCACCTTTGCTCGCCTCCTGGTACTTGCGCCTGGCCTGGGCGCTGTCCCGCGCCAGGGCCCGGTACTGGCTCTTCAGCTTCTCGATGTCCTGGCTGTGCGTCTGGGGAGAGAGGAGGGGCCGGTGTCGGGTAACGGGTCCCCGGGGCACAGGAGAGTTCCGCCTGAGGCGAAGCCCTGCACGCGTCCCACAGTCTTGGCAGGCCACGCATCTAAGTCTGTCCTCCGTCCTCCGGGAAGGCCCCGGAGGCCTCTGGGGCCCAACCTCTGCTGCTGAAGTTAGGTCAGAGGAGCTGGCTTGAGGACAGGCCCCTGGGCAAGGCAGAGAGGGGGGCCGGGCGGGCCACACCTGGCCCTCCTTGACCTAGAGTGGTATCTGGTGGCAGGGAGGCCCCAGCTGCGGGCCCACATGGCCTGGGCTTGGTTTAACGCTCTGTTGATGACATCTTGAAACTCTTTCATAATTTTTTTGACAACAGGCCCCGCATTGTCACTTTGCAGCAAGTCCTGCAAATTACGTTCTGGGTGGCAGGAACAATGGATGGTCAAGAGCGAAGTTCTTATCCCAGTTCCCCTGTGTATGCACTGGGATCCTTGGGGTAAGTTCCGTCCCTGTCCTCTAAACCTTAGTTTCCCCATCTGTATAACAACTTAATGGAAAGACGAGATGAACCTTTCTCTTGAAAGGCCGGATGGTAAACACTTGAGGCTCATACGGTCTCTGCTGAAATCACTCAGCTTTGCCGCTCTAGCTCTGTAACAGCCCCAGGTAATAGGAAACGAAGAAACGGGCATGGCTGGGTTCCAGTAGAAATACCCCAAAAAAGCAGGCCGACCCCGGAATTAGATGCGCTTCTGGGGAGAGCGCCGGCGGGTGGACAGTGGCCACCAGGGGCCGCTGTGGGCCCGTGGGAAGGCTGGGGTTGGCGCAGGTGGAGGGGTGTGGTGCGCGGGGGTGCAGACCGGCACACTGCACCGGGCAGGCTCAAGCCGAACAGCTCCGACCGCCCGGGCTCTAGACGGAGCAGCAGGGCGGGGTTCAAACGCAGGCGGGCCGACTTCACACCTCTGTGTCAGGGGGCCACACCGCTGCCGTTCGAGGAGCCGACTCGTCCCCCAGGCCCCAGAGCCCGCCGGCGCCGCCGGGCGGGAGGGGGGTCACCGATCCTGCGCACCCTGCAGCCGCCGGCTGGATCGCTCACCTTTACTCCCCGTGCTTTACTGGGGCGCACGGTCAGGGCGCAGAGCACGCACGGAGAGGCCTTGCCACAGGGGCCCAAGTGCAGGAAGGCGGGACGGAAGCTAGGGCAGGCCTGCGGTCAGGGACGTGCACTTCCCCCAGTGAATCCAGGGGCTCTTGTGCAAAAGCAGCCCCTTAGAGTCAGCCTTTGGGCAGCAGGGGCCAGGGGGAGCCCAGGGCCCCCGACCCACCTTGGTGAGCTCCTGCTGCAGCTGCTGCCACTGCTCGCTGTAGGTCTTGCGCAGCTGCTGTCGCTCCCGGATCAGCAGGCCCAGCTTGCTCAGGGGCCCTGAGTTCAGGTCCTCCGCGTGCTGCCTCAGCAACCGGCTCAGGCCCTCCGTCTGGCTGGTGAGCTCTGCCCAGGACTGTGCGGCACAGGACGGGCGAGACAGGGAGTGGGGGCACAATGGCTCCCCAGCCCGGGCCTGCCGACTCCCCAACCCTGCCCAGCCCTGCGCAACCCTGCCCAGTGGGCTCTGGGAAAGGAAGGGGGCGGGCGGACAGAACCGTCACCCAGAGGAATTCCTCAGTCCAAGGCAGGAAGGGGATGAGGAGGCCTAGGGTGCCGCAGAACCCCCACCTGGCTGATGGGGCTACTGGGGCTCATGCCCCGGCCTCCACTGTCCTGTAGGGACATGTGATGCAGAAGCCCTGCATACTCCCGGTCGCTCTTGACCCGCTGGGCCATCCACTTCCTCATGCCCTCCAGCAGCCGCAGCTCAGCCTCCTGCATCTGCTGCACCGCCCCGTGGCCCTGGGGGCTGCACAGCTCCGAAGAGAAGCCCATGGTGCCGTCCTGGGGACAGAGACAGGGCAGCCCAGCACTGGGTAAGGCAGCAGCCGGAGATGGAGGCGCCAGCCGGGGAGGCTGGGGGCTGTGGGGCAAAGAGGAGCTGCAGAGAGACAGGAGGTGGGGTCCTGTCCTGCTGAAACGCAGCCCTAGGTCCAAAACGGGCAACTTGGCCTGGGACGGGCCCTCATTGCTTCCCGTGTCTCGGGCCAAGGCCTGGCGCCAGGGGACCCCTCCCTCCCCAGGCCCTCCCACCGGGCACCCTTCCCTTGCCAGGGGCTCGGCGTGCCCGGGACCCTCCGCCGGGCTTCAGGCAGCCGCAGCCTGAGCCGGGCCCCCGCCCTGCCACGCGCACCCCACCGTGGGGGGCGGAGGGGGGAGTGTCCCCCTCTCGGCACCCCCGGCCGCCGCTGCTCCCCGCCCCCCCCGCGCCCCTCCCCCCCCCGCGCGCCCGCCCGCGCCGCCTGGGCCTCGGGGCAGGAGTTACCCGCGCGGGCAGCTGCTCCGGGGCTGCCGAGGACGCCTCGGGGACGACTCCGGCCCGACTGCGGCCCCGGCGACCCTGGCCAGTTCCTGATTCGGCTTCCTCCTGCCGCGGTTTCAGTTGGCCGGCCGGGGCGGGCCCGGCGAGGGGAAGGGGCGGGCGAGAGGGCCGGCGCCCCCGACGCCTGCCGGCCCCCCTGCCCAGCGCGCCGCGCGGCCGCGGAAACGGAAGGGAGGAGGGGGCCGGGGAAGAATGGCCGCGCGGAGAGCCGCCTGCCGGCGCCCCCAGGGCCTGGGCAGCGCCCGGGAGCGCGGGGAAGCGGCCGCCGCGCGGTGGGGGCCTGGCGCCCGGCCCGGGCGGCCCAGGAGGGGAAGGGGGAAGCCTGCTCCAGGCCTCCCCACCCCGTCGGATTCCCCTAGGAGAGCTCAGGCGCCAGCCAGCATTTGAATAAAATTTCCAAGTAAATATCCCCGAGGAGAGGCCTCCTTCTCAGGCGCAGGTCCTGGGGAACCGGCCACCACTCCCCTACCCGAGGCAGGGGCTTCCTGCCCCAAGGGAAGCCAGGGGAGGGGGGCATGGCTGGGATAGGGGAGTGGACAGGTATGGAGTTTCCAGACTGGACACCGGCCAGCAAAAACCATCTATCTTGGTTCAGTCCGGCTCCACCATAGACCTCGGCCCTACAGCCAAGGGAGATCCTGAGCAAAGGCGGGGGGAACCACCCTGCTGGAGACCAGGCCTGTGGGGGTGCAAGCCCTCTGCTTGTCCTACTCTTGGGGCTCCCATGTCCCACAGCCTGGGGCTTGTCCCCAGCTGCTGCCTCCTTCCACAGCCCACTGCTCCCCCAGGGAGGCCCTGGAACTCCGTGGGAGACGGCCTTTGGAGTCCTGACTTGGGCCCACCTAGAGGCAAGCAGGACATCAACTGGCCCCAATCCCCGCCCCCATCCCGGATGCAGTCCCAGGGCCCTAGGAAGAACAACATCACCACACTGGAGACCAGGCCTGGTTTGCATAGTCTGCACGTTTAATCACTTTAAAACCTCTAACATTATCTCGTGTCCATTAAATAGAACCAACAATGCTGGGCCTGTTTAAATTACAAGAAAAAAAAAAATCACTGGGCACCAACCCAGTATCTTACAAAATCAGCCAGGCTGGCCACAAGGGTGGGGGGATGGGAGAGGAGGGGACACCCCTGGGCAGGTGGCTGGGTGCCAGGAAGGGCTAGGGGAGAGAAAGAAAAGAGGGCTCCCAGATGGGAGGGGACTGATTGTCCTAATGGGAGGGGTGCGAAAGGCACGTCAGAAGAGGGGGACTTAAGGGGGCAGAACAGGTCAGTGCTTTCTCTACAAGGGCACAGTGTTGGAGGGGGCTCAGTGCCACCACCTGCCCACCCCTGGCACTTGGAGAACCAGTGACCCATGAGCCCTTGGCACGATGAGCCCCAACTGAAACACGGATGACAGCCTGCCCCTCCCACCACGATCCCCTTTCCTAGGGCCCACCTGGCTTGCCCGCCTGCCTCTTCAGGACTTGGGGTTCAACTCCTCCTCACTCCTCAGCAACATGCTGCAGCCCCCCGCACCTCAGGGCCAGCGTAGCCGGGGGAACAGCAGAATGGACAGTGGGTGTGGGAAGGTGGGTGGTCCAGCTGCTACCCCCATTACAAATACAAAAAAACAAAAAAACCCAAAAAAACCCAAAATCAGCATCTAAAGTGAAATAATCACAAAGTGAAAATATATCCTCAAACAGCCCCTGAGATCCCCACAGGGGAAAGCAGCATCGGGTGGGAGGCGGGAGAGGCCGGCTGGGCCACCGTCCCTCCCCACCACCCACCCAGGGGCTCCGGGACTGTGAGTGCCAACAGCCCAGGCAGCCCCGGGCTCAGAAAACAGGGACTTGGGCCCTGGCCGGAGGGGAGGGGAGGGGAGGGGAGGGGAGGAGAGGGGAAGGAAAGGGAGGGGAGGGGAGGGGAGGGGGGGGAGGGAAGGGGAGGGGGCCCGAAAAGGTAGGGTGGTCAGGACACCAGCACGGGGCTCGGCGGGCAGCCAGCGGTGGTGGAGGTGGGCAAGGGGACACACACGCGCGTGTGCTCACGGGCCCACCCTAAAGCACCTGCCTTGCCTTGGTCCCTTCCTTTGATCGCCACTTCCTCAAGAGGCTCACCAGACATGGGGGACAAGGTCGGGGATACAAAAGCCCTTGGAGAGGTGGCCTCCTCCTTCAAATACCCCCTAGGCCAGCCTCCCTGCTGCCTGGATGGGGACCGTTATTGCTTTAGAGGGAACAGGGTAGGGAGAGAGCTGCAGCCCGGGTCAGGAATCCCCAAAGAGAAGGGCTGACCCCTCTTCACTCCGCAGAAAACCCCGGCTGGGGCCTGGACCTTGGAAAGCTGCCCTAGAGGTTCCACTCCTTTCTCCACACGGAAGGGGTGCTGGAGGTGGGGGTGAGGCCCTCCCCGGCTCCCCAGCTGGTCCTGGGGCCCCACCTCAGGCAACCAGGTGGCCCGAAGGTAGGGTGGGAAGCAGTCTCTGCCCCTCTTGCCTCCCAGCTGGGGTCCAAACCCAGTCCCAAGATAAAAAAATACTTTGGTGAATTAAAAAGTGCCCAAGGAGGGGATGGGCTTGAAGGGGCAGGCAGTAGGCGCTCGTCAAAGGGCGCTCTGGTCTTTGATAAAGGCGGTCCTCTCGCCCCGGCCCTCGTCCTCTTCTGAGTCGGATGGGCACTCTTCCTGCCAGGCTTCGGGGGGCAGCCCCTTGTAGGAGATGAGGCCGCGGTCCATGGTGTACACCTTCACCCCCCGGAAGCTGAAGCCGGAGCGCAGCTGCAGGACCAGGAAGACAGTGACGAAGACCAGCACGATGAAGGCGCAGCTGAGGCCGGCCACCACCTCGGGCAGGTGTGAGGGCGGCAGCCCTGCGCGCGGCCGGGGCTCCGTGTCCACCTCGGCGGGCGGCGGCGGCGGCGGCCGCTGCTGGGGCGACTCGCGGCTGCTCTGGCTCTGCCGGGAGCACGTCTGCTCCACGGGGTCCAGGGAGGCGTGGCTGGGGCAGCTGAGGCAGTCTGTGGGGGCCAGCCCCTGGCACGTGGCGCACGAGCTGTGGCAGGGGGCGCAGACGCTGGCCCGGATGATCTCCACGTCGTTGTCCGTGCTGTAGTGAGTCTCGAGGACTTGGGGGGTGAAGCCCGGCGGGCAGCGCTGCACGCAGCTCTTCTGGAGCAGGGAGAAGCCCTCCTCACAGACTGCCGGCATGGGGGAGGAGGTGCGTGTCAGCTCAGGAGGCGTGGCGGCCGCCCCGAGGTCTCTTCAAGCCCCCTTTCCTCCTAGCCCCGGGCGTCAGCACAGGTCCCCTCTGTGCGCACCCACCCCCCCAAAGCCCCGGCCCCCCGACCCCAGCAGCAACCACTACTGACCCACACAGGCCTGGCTGGTCGTGAGGGTCTTGCAGCCGCTGCTCTCGGGAGGCGGGTGCGAGCCCTCGGGGGCCGTGCCATACAGCACGAGGGTGAACTTGGTCAGTGTCCCTGTCCCGGGGTGGGGGAGGAGGCAAGAGTTAGGGAGCACTGGCACCGCTCCCGGGATCCCAGGGCCCACCGGCTCCCGTCTCTGCTGCCCCCTCAGTCCTCAAACATCCCCAGTACCGTAGTTGTTGGCTTCGCTGGTGTTTTCAATCTCCAGGACCCACTCGCCAGAGGGGTCCTCATCCCAGGAGTGGGTTGTCATGAAGGCCCAGTCGTTAAACCCATCTGCGGAGTAGTCGTGCGGCCTGCAGGAGAAGGGTGCCCACGGCTGTTGGAGGCCTCCGGGAGACCCCAGCCAGGGGACACCAAGGCCACAACACGGGGACCACACACCCTCCCCCAGGGCAGTGCCAACCCCACTGGGCCGGAAATGCCTGGGGCTGTTGTTTGCCAGTAGGCCAGATGTTCTCCGCCAGAAGATTGGTGGAAACGTGCAAGGTGCTTGCTACACACGGGAAGGCACGCTACTGGCAGGTAACGACTGGAGGCCAGGGATTCCTTCAATGCGGGACAGTCCCTTAGGACAGAACCATCCCTCCTCAAGTGCCAACCCACACTGAGAAGAACCTGGTGGCCACTAAGACCCTGTGACAAGTCCAGGAGGGTGAACGTGTGCGAGCGTGAGGAACGGGACAAGCTGGGCAGGGGAGAGGGCAGGCACCTGGCGGCCAGCAAGGTGGAGCGGGTGCCCATGGGGCTGACCAGGTGGATGGCCAGGTCGCCACGGCGATTGTAGGACAGGGTGAGGCGGGCCTGCGCGTGCTCTAGCCGTGTGATGTGGCTGGGCTCCCCCAGGCAGGCGGTCACCGTCTTCCGCACCTCCAGCCGCTTCCCGATGTCCCTGTGCAGACAGCAGGGACAGTCTGCCGGCCTGACCCCCCCCCGACACCCCGGTCCCCCCCCCACCCGCCCGGCACCAGCCCCGGGCCAGGCCTCACTTGGGTTCAGTGAGGATGTCGATGATGCATTTCCGCTGGGGGGGCACCGTCGTCCAGTTCTGGGCCAGGGTCACCATAGCACCCGCGTCCAACAGCCCGTAGCCGTATGAATGGCTCACTGCGGGGGCAGGGAAGGCAGGGTCATCTGGGAAGCAGAGGGCCCCCCTACCCTCCCCCAGCCCGCGCACTGGGCCACCTGTCCTCACCTTTCCGGCCCACACCGTTGGTGGCCCAATCGTTAGCGTTGAGGTGGGCGGGTTTTGAGGTCTGTACCACCAGGTGCTGCATGTCCCGCCAGGTGAGGTTCTTACTGCAAAGGGCGGAGAGTGAGGCCCGGGGCTCAGGCCAAGGGCTGCCCTGCAGGGGGCACCGGTGGGGGCGAGGTTGCTTACTTGGCTTCCAGGGTGAGAGCGATGATGCCGGCTGCCAAGGGGGCCGAGGCCGAGGTGCCCGTGTGAGACTCGGTGCACTTCTGCCGCAAGTCCGTGGTCACCTGCCAGGAGGGCGGTGTGTTGGGCCCGTGATGAGTGCAGGGACGAGAGAGGCCACCTGCCCGCCCCCTGCCCACAGGCCCAGAGCACCAACGGACGGCAGGGGAGCCGGGGCCAGGACACCTCAGGCCCAGCTGCTGCCTCGCTCACTCGCTGTGAACAGGCTAACGCCTGGCCCTCCCGGGGCCTCAGTTTCCCAAGGCACGAGGGGCTGAGCTCCAGGCTGGAGACCATTCAGAGCCGTGCGCATCTTCAGAGAGTCTGCGCCTCTCAGGGGCTTCGCACAGCCCCGTGGCCCCATTCCCAGTCTCAGAGCGCCCCAGCTCCCGTCCCACGACGACTGAGCCACCGATGCCCCAGCCACACGTGGTCCGGGAAGGGGGCCCTGAGCAGAGCCCGCAGGCGGCCCCACCTCCCGCCCGGCCCCTGCCCCGCCCCCCGGGCAGGACTCACGATCTGCTTCTCGTTCTGGTTGCCGCTGCTGTAGGTGGTGGCCAGCGTGGACGAGCAGGCCTCGCTGTACCAGGGCACGTTGCCGAGCTGCGTGGCGCTGCTGATGGACAGCGTGTAGATGCTGTTCGTGTAGCCGTCACAGTTGCAGCTGTCGTGCTCCCGGCCCCCGTTCCCCGAGGCCCACACGAAGATGGAGCCCAGCCCCCCGCGGCCCTGAGGACAGAGCGGGCTGGGGTCACTCGCAGACGGGGCCTGGGGGAGGCCTGGCGGGAGGCTGCTGCCGGGGGACGGGGCCCCTCTCCGCACCCCGTGAGACCCCTGCTGGGTCGGGCGCTTGTGCAAGTCTGTCTGTCTGCGCCGAACAACAGACCCGGGCTGCCACCGAAATGCCCAGACCGGTGACTGTGGGGGCTGGAACGATGGGTGATCTCCACTTATTTTTCTCTTTTGCTATCTGTCTGGTCCATTAGCATTTCCTTGTATAAACTAAGGTGTAACACAAGAATAAACAAACAGGAACAGAAAAACATGGGGGAAAAAAGTAGGGAGCAGACAGCGCCCGGCCTGGCCCACAGGGCTGCGCAGGGACCCCCACCGCACCTGGCTAACCCCCCGGAAGAAGGCCTCCTCGGCGAGGCGGGCAGGTCCATCCACGGTCTTGCCATCGTCCTCGGGGCCCCAGCTAGCGCTGTAGATGTGGATGTGGTTGGGGTTCAGGCCCAGTGAGCGAGCCTCCACCGCGTCCGTCACCTCGCCGTCCAGCATGCGCACCCCTGGCCGCGGAGGGGGGTGAGGAGAGGGATGCTGCGTGGGTCTAGCTGCCAGGGGTACCCCCAAAGCACACCCAGCCCTGCACCCGGAGGATGCGCAGGGGAAGGCAGAGGCCAGTGCTGGAAGCCCTGAGCCCCTAGCCCCTGGGCCTCTCTGCCTCTCCAGGCCAAGAGCCCGAAGGGAAAAAGAGAACACACCCTGCCCTCAACCACAGAGCCTGGCTTAGAAGGAGCCTCTGGGTTCCCTAGGGGTGTGGCGATCAAGGCCTGCCCTGTAAGGACGCAGTGGGGGTGGTGGGGATTCAGGGAGGCTCCTGCTAAGAAGCCCTGCCCCGCCCCGCCCCGCAGCACAGGGGGCTCAGTTCTGAGCTGTCGAGAAGCCTCTAAGGAACAGCCACGTGGCCAAACGGATCCACGGATCCGCGGTGGGAAAGTGACAGGCACTGGCCGGATGGGAGAGAATCCCACCCGCAGGGCCCTCCCCACGGACAGGGTGGCCAAGGCCCACACCCACCTCCGATGCGGGCGTTGTAGGCCACGCCTACACCGCAGACACCGTTGTTGGCCACGGCGGCCACCTCGCCCGCGCACCGTGTGCCATGCCTGCCAGGGCCAAGAGCACAGCGTTAGCGGCGGACAGAGCACAGCGGGCGCAGCCTGAGGGACAGGACGGGCCGGCACGCCCCTCCAGCCACGACCTCTGTCCCCTCCCACGCTCTCGGCTCTGTGGCCACCCCTGTTCTGACCAGAACTGCAGCAAGACCACGGAAATGTCCGCCTACTGGGGGAATGGGTCTTAACCCGGGCTCGACCCTGCTTCCTCAGTGGAAGGGAGGAGAAGGCAGGCAGGGGCCGGGGCCCTGCCGTCGCTTACCTGTTGTCATTCATCTGTGTGTACCGAGGCTGGGGGTCAGGGTCCTGGTCGTTGACGTCGAAGCTGGCCCCGGGATCCTGGAGAGGACATGGCCATCGTCAGGAACAGTCTGAGCACACCGGCAGAACAGGACCGTCCTGAGACACCCCTCACCGGGGATGGCTGCCTCCCTCCCCCACCTCCTCACATAATTGCCTGCCAAGTCTGGATGGTTCTTCTCGATGCCATCGTCCAGAATGGAGACCACAATGCCACGCCCCGTGTAGCCCTGAGCCCAGGCCTCCTTCACGTTCAGGTCCCGCTGGGTGACGGCGGACTGCAGAGACACCCACCCCATCACCCCAGCACTTACGAGATGTGGTTGGCCGTGTGAGGTCAGGGGTACCCAGAAGAATCCCTTCACCACCCCTGAAACCTCTTTCTCCACCTGCCCCCGCGCCCACAATGCCATCCCTGGCTGCCTGGGCTCCGTGGGAGTGCCCAGAACTCTGGAAGGGCAGCCCCCAGGCTTAGCGGGAAGGGGCGGGGAGGGAGTGCTGGGCAGAGAGAAAGAAGAAGAAGGAGGGGAGGCCTCCACATCAGCCTCAGCATCCCGCGGGAGCCCTCAGTGGCCAGATGGGTGCCGCCGGGGAGGAGTACCCACGACCCGAGGCGGCAACGTACCAGGTACCACTGCTGGGGAAACTTGGGGTCCGTGGGCTCCTGGTACACATCTCGTTTGGTCCTTCGCTTTACCACCTGCTGCTCCAGCCACTGCACCTGCAGGAGTGAGGGGGGCCGGTGTGGGCGCGGGGGGCGGGGGCTCAAGCGGCTCCAGAGAGCGGCAAGGGAAGGGTGGCAGCCGGAGGGGCTGGGGCCACACTCACTTGAGGCTCCCTCTGCAGCCGGCTGTGCTGCAGGCGGTGAGGCGACAGGGACCGCTTTGTCACCGCTCGATGCCAGAAGTGGTAATAGTCCCCGAAGATCTGCAACAGAGCAGGGAGCCTGGGCTGGGCTTTCCATCTGGCAGTCCCCGGGAGGCAGCGGACGGGGGTGGACAGCCGGCTGCAAGGGGAGGCGCACGACGCCAGGGGGTGGTGGGGCATCTGCTCCCTGCCCAGGCCCCGGCCAGGGGGTGCAGGGGACGGAGAGGGACGCACCCTCCCGGGCAGAGTCTGCTCCCCTGAACAACCTCTGTCGGAAGCCCGAGGGCGGGACCAGCCACGGCTCCCGTCCCCCTATAGCCACCCAGAACACGCCTCCTACCCAGATGGCCCTGGGAAGATAAGCCCACAGTCCCGGTCCCGCTGCCCGAACCCCTGCCCTCGCTGACCCCGCCCCTGGCAATGACCCGCACCCAGGCCAGCCGGCAGTCGGCGCACCTACCTGGCCCAAGTTCAGGAAGCCATGCTTGTGCGCCAGCCTGTCAGCCACGGCCGGGCCTCCGGGAACGTGCACAGCCCACGTGTTGGTGTAGACCTTCTGGGCCCGGGCGTCGGCTGCCAGCAGGACCAAGGCTCCTGCCATTACCACCCATAGCAACCAGGGCCTCAGCTCCATGGGGGGGGCCGGTGGCCGGGACCCCGGAGCCCCCGTCTCCTTGGCCTGGTCACAGGGCCTCGGCGCCCGCGTGCCTGCTCACTGCCTGTGGCCCGGGGCTGACTGGCGGGGGCATGAGGCCGAGCAGGGCAGGGCTGTGCGGGGAGGAGGGCCGCCGGCTCTGAGGGGAACAAGGGAGGAAGAAGGGTAGACAGTCAGTCCCCCCGCCCCCGCCATGTGCAAAGGCCACCCCCGTGGCTCAATCTAGGCCTGAAAAGGGCCCCTGGGGGAGACGGGGGAGAATCCAGCCCCCCTAAGGTCAGCCAGCCAGCCAGATGGACCCCCCCTACACACACACACACACACACACACGCACACACACGCGCGCAGCTCCCAAGCCTCTCTCCACACAAGAATACGGAAGTGGGATGAAGAGTATCAGGCTTGAGTCATCCAAAATCAGAAACAACAACAGAATAAATGTTCACCGCAATCAAAGTGAAAAAGAGATGGGTTATAAAGCAGTATGTATACATGACCCCATTTTGTTTTTAAAGAACTATTTATAAGTGTGTATTTATATACCACCACAAAACAAAATCTGGAAGGACACATGCTAAAACGTTAACCAACGATTCTCTCAAGATGGTGACGATTATGAATAACTGTTATTTTCTTCTTTGTGCCACTGTATATTTTCCAAGTTACCGAGGTCTATTTTATAAAATGTTGGCTTTTCAAAGTTTTTTAATGGGTGGTGTCTACTCAGCTCACCAGGGGTTCCTGGTTCAGCAAAGCAGACCTAGCCACAGGGAATTACCTGCACGAAGACCCACAGCCCTCTGGGAAGAAACAGTGGATGACCTTAGGAGGGATGGGGCTTTGGGGGCTGAGCACAGGGGATCCCAGTGGCTTCACCTCCCTCCACGGGCAGACCCCAGACCAGTGTCCGTCAGCAAAGTCAGGGGCCCAGACTCTTTTGAGGCTGTTTCCTGGGGAACGCTGGGGCCACCCAGCCCTGCCCTGCGCAGGTCCTGGGCGCAGAGGCCCCTGGCAGCCCCCTTGCACTCCACGCCCACCAGCCTTGCGTAATCCGAGCCCAGGCAGCCAGGCCAAACACTGGCTGCTGAGCCAGGAGCACCAAGGTGAGGCTGAATCAATAGTCTGCGTGTTGTTTTTCCTCCTTCAGCAAACAGACAGCGGGACCTCTCTGCTCGGGGCCACATAACTGTCCCCACAGAGGGCCCCTGACTAGCCAGAAGCCAAGCCCCTGGGGTGGGGAGAAGCTGCGGAGGCCCCAGTGGGGCTGTTGGAGGTATCCTGCCTCAGTGCCAAGCTCACTGAGCAGAGGTCCTGCCCACAGGGCCCCGGATGCCCCCACCACTCCCAGCCCCAAAGGAGGCCACTCTGCCAGATGGCTGAAATGAAGCTCCCCAGCTCACCCAGGCTGTGGGGAGCTGGGCAGGCGGGTTCGCCACTGGGAAACCTTGCCCCTCCAGGGGCTACCCTCAGCCACAACCAGCCTTGCTGGCTGCTCCTACTGCAGTCCCACCCTGCAGCCTGGGAGGGACTCAACACACAATTCCCAGGGTATTTTCAGTTTACACCAAAATAACCTGACAGCTGATGGCAGGAGGCATCCACAATACGGCTCCTCCTCACCCTGGATGGGGCAGAGTCCACGGGGCTCCAGGACAGGCCCATGATGCCTTGGGCATCCAAGTTCCAGAAAGCCAGTCTTAGCAATGGCTGGGTGGCCAAACATAGGCCCTAGGGTGTGAAGAGACCCCACGCCCCTCATTTAACAGAGGATGCGGGGCCCTGAGGGCAGAGCCACGTAGGAACAAGGCCTCTTCTGCTCTTCTGCCCACTGCAATAGCCCCCGCTTGGGTCCAGATGGCAAGTAAAGCTGCCCCGGACCACAATGCTGTGAGCCCCGCCAAAGCCCCCAAATCAAGATGGGCTCATCTGGGTCTAGCCTGGGTTCCAGCACATTGTGAATGGAGCTGCAGCTGCCTTGCCTTAAAGGTGATTAACCAACTAGTTAATTACCCTGCAGCACCCAAAAAGCAAGCAGGCTTCCGGCACAATCCAACTATCCCCCAAGAAAGGGCCTGCCTCCCTCTGCCCAGCATCCCTAGCCATGGTGAGCTGTGGATATGGCTTCCACAGAGCCCCGAAGACCCCCCCCCCTCCAGCCCCACCTCAGCATCCTGGAGGGAGGGAAGATTTCCCACCTCCCTCCCTCCCAAAAGAGCAGGCTCTGAGAACAATGAATGAATGGGCTTCTCCCCACCCCCATCCCAGACTCTGACTCACCCTCTGAGTCCCAGTTCAGCTTAAACACCCCCCCCCCCCACCAGGCTGGCTGTATTTCTAGCCTCCTGCGATGCCCCCTCACATGGGACTGAGCTCTGGGCTGTGGCCACAGAGAGCGCTGGGAGTGCTCTTCCTGGCTGTGTTCTTAGGCAAAGCCCTTTCTCCAGAGGTCCCAGGAACCTCGGACACCGCTCTGAGGCATCCAACTGAACCGACCCCCAGGTCCGGACGCTGTTTCCCAGGCACTGAGGCACTTTCTGGTGTGTACAGGATCCAGTCCCTCTTTCTAGCAGAGACACCAAGCCAGGTCCTGTTACAGGAAATGAGAGGCTCCCCTGAAATTCTGATTTCGTCTCTGCTCCACTACTCATTTGCTGTGTGATCGCAAACAAGTTACTTCCTCTCTCTGGGCCTCAGTTTCCTTGGTGGTAAAAACTGCTAGATATGAGATTTTCAAACTTTTTTTTTTAAAGCCACATAATCCTTAAAAAAAAAAAAAAAAAAATCAAATCTCACGTGAAAGCCCCATATAGGAAACAGTAAAATTTGGGTTGCTCTGGTTGAGACGCGGCAAGCTTGGCCAGTCTCCTGCGCTCCCTCCACACCTGGCCAGCAGCCGCCCAGCCCTCACTAGGCCACATCACCCGGGTTCCCCTCACGCTTCCCAAGCCAAAAATAGAATTCCAACACCCTCTCGCGGCAGAGGGTCTGCACCCCCTCCCCGCGGCACCCGGAGAGCAGGTACAGACCAGACAAGTGACTGCTGTCAGACCTGTCTGGCGAGCAGGCAGCCCCGCAGCACAGCCACCCCACGGGGGCAGCAGGGGCCTGCGCCAGGCCTCGGCGGGAGGCAGCCCCAGCACCCCCCTGAGCCAGCCTCCCGCAGCCCGCAGAGCCCGCACCTGCGTCTCCGTCGCCCAGGTGTGCGGACGGGGGCGGGGGCGGGGGCGAGGCCGGGCCGGGGAATAACCCCCTCCGCCCGGCCACCAGCCGTTCCTCCCCTCCCCGGCCGCGGAGTGGGCGAGCCGGCGGCGGCGCCCGGCGGCCGGCGGGGAGGCGGGAGCACCCGGCGCCTCTGGAATTCTCTCCCCATCCCGCCCCCAGCGGGGGCCCCCGCGGACGCTTCCTGAGGTCAGAGGGCTCGCCCCGGCCCCAAGCGGAAAAGTACCCGCACGGGCCGGGGGCCGGGGGCCGAGCCGGGCCCGGCGCGCTCAGGTGGGCTGCAGGGCGCCCCTCCTGCTGCCCGCGGCTCCACCCTCCGGCCGGCCCCCGAGCCAGTTCCGAACGCCGCGCGGAGCGGCCGGGGCCTGGGGGGGCCCGGGTCAGGACGGCCCCGACCCTCCCCCGCCGGGGCGCCGGGGCCCAGCGGCCCAGGCCGGCCGGCCGGCTCTCCCCGGGCCCGGCGCGCTGCCTCCCCGGGCCCCGCGCCCTCCTGCTTACCCGAGGGAGCCCGGGCGGGTAACTTTTGCAGGCGAGCGCCGCGGCGGCTCGGGCGCCCCTCGGCCGAGCGGAGAGCCCGGCGGCGGGGCCTGGGCTCGGCGCCGTCCCCGCGCCCAGCAGCAGCGTCACCGCGCGGAGGCGGGGAGGCGCGGCGGGCGGTCCTCGGCGCGGCCCGCGACCAGGGACAGGGCTCGGCCTGGGCTCGGGCTCCAGCGCGGGCGGGGGCAGCGGCCGGGCCCCGGCGACGCCGCTTGTTTACTCCCGCCGCTGTCAGCGGCGGCGGCGGCCCGGGCTCCTCCTCCGCCGCCGCCGCCGCCGCGCCCCTCCCCCTCGCGGCGCCACCTCCGAGCTCCCGGCCCGCCGCCGCCGCCGCCGCCGCCGGCCCGCCGCCCATGCCGCCTGCGCCCCGGCCGGCGATCGGAGCCGGAGCCGCGCGCACGCAGAGCGCCGGGCCCCGAGCCCAGGCCCTGCGGCCTTCTGGGGCGCCCGCTGCCTCCGGCGCCCGGTAGGGGCAGGTAGAAAGTGGGGCCGGAGGTCCCAAAGCCCGGGCGGCCGCCCGGCGCGTCCCCACCCCCCACCCCCCGGCCCCGCTGCCCGCGCCCCCGCCCCCGGCTCTGCGCGCCCCAAGCTCCCGGGGCAGGCGGCGGTGGAGACCCGAACTCGGAACCCTCGGCTTGGGCTGCCAAGGGCTCGAGGAGGCACTCCGAGCTCAGTGTCGGCTGGATTGTGGGGGAGCCGGCCCTCTCGTCCCCAACCCCCCACGACTGCCCCATTCCTGAGCCAGGAATTTGGGCATGACCCAGTTAAGTGTCCCGGGGTGACCGACCTGGGGTAGCTCCCCCTGAGGTCAGACTTCAGCGAGGCGAGGCACACCTTCCCAGGCCTACCGTTAGGGGAGTCACGACTGTTTGCATCTATATAGACAGGTGGATAAGCTGAACCAGCAGCCCACGCCTCTTACTTTTTTTTTTTAAAAACACCAACCGCGGGCGAGGCACTGGGACAGTCACTTTACGTTACCTCCTTCTTAAGTACATTATTTAATCCACATAATCCCTCTGGGCCGACATTATTAATCCCATTTTACAGATAAGGAAACTGAGGAGCACACAGTTAAATAATTTGCCCAAGGTCCCCCAACTAGCAGGCCTCAGAGCCTGGGCGAGATCTGGGGCTTTGGCAGAGCCTGAATCCAAGCTACTTGCCATATACCAACGGGCTCCTCTCCCTCCCTGGGTCCCTGCCCTAGAAAACGTCTGTGCTACTTGGCTGAGGCCGCCACTGCTTGAGCTGAGAAAGAAAAGAGGGGAAATGTGGCCAAGAGCTCCCCGGGCTGGGTTATTCCAAGGTCATGGAGCAGTCTCTGCCCACCCCTTCCTGCTCCCTGTGAGGTTACCTGGCAGGACAGTATTATCCTGTGGTGTCCTCAACACAGGGGGTAATGACAAAACCGAACACCGCCCAGTGCTCTCTATAGGCCAGGTGCTATTCTCGGCTCTTGTCCATGCGTTAACTGACTTCTCCCCACAAACCCCACCAGGTGGGTACAATACATTTTCCTTTGGCAACTTTCTTTTTTTTTTTTTTAAGATTTTATTTATTTATTTGACAGAGAGAGAGAGAACTCAAGCAGGCAGAGGGAGAGGGAGAAGCAGGCTCCCCGCAGAGCAGGGAGCCCGACGCGGAACTCGATCCCAGGACTCCGGGATCATGACCTGAGCCAAAGGCAGCCGCTTAACCGACTGAGCCACCCAGGCGCCCTCCTTTGGCACCTTTCATGTAGCATTTATGTCTACATTTTACAGAAGAGGAAGCTGAGGCCCAGGGAGGTCAAGTAATATCCCTAAGGTCACTGGGTGGCAAGTCAACTGGCAAGCCCGGGTCCAGATCCCCGGGGCACTGTTGCATACCCCGCCCCCTTGGACAAGTTACTTCCTTCTGAGAGCCTCCATTTACTCCTCAGTAAAGCGGAGATGATCCTCAACGAATGCCATGAGGTACCACCGGGAACCCTTTCAGATGCCGCGGAAACTGGAAACTCGGGTTGCAGTGTGGGGATCCGAAAGTCGGGCTGGGGGCTAAGTCTGGTTCGCTCCCGCTCGAGGTGGGAACTTCCCTCCCAAGGAGTTGAGACTCCTGGGGCCACCCTGGGGTAGCCCCACCAGCCGCAGAGCATCATTTGGGAGAACAATTCTTGTGCAGTCAGACTGAGGCAGGAAGTGAGTCATGGTTCTTCCCTTGTCTATGAGCTAGAGAACCCCATTGAGAGGAAATTTGGACTGCGCTAGCCCCACCTAGGCTCGGGGTTCCCTAGTGCCCTTCCCACTTGTCCTCTGGCCTTGCAAGAAAGGTCACCGCAGGGAGAGAGCAATCCTGGCCGCCTGGAGGTGCCCCACCCATCCCGGACGCTGGTCCCAGGGGCGCTGCGGCGGGTCTCAGGAGGAGGAGGGGCTGGCCCTGTCTCAGAGGGCTGCCACCCCGGCAGGGCCGGCCTCTCCAATCCCACCTTGGGCAGGAGGTGGAACTCTTTTCAGCTGTGTTGCTCAGAGGTGCATCACTTGAGGGGAGGAGGGGGGCGAGGACTGAGCAAGTGAGCACCTGTCCTTACTTTGCCCAGAGCATCTTTACCTTCGTCCCTCTCCAGTTTGGGAGTTTCACAAACAATCGTATTTTACAACAGTCCTCTTTGCTCAAATGAATTTGGAAGCCACTCCCCTTGAGACGAGGCCCCTCGGGAGAGAATCCCACCTTGCCACAGCTGGTGACCGTTAGCCAACTTCTTCATCTCCCCTGAAACAAGTCCTGGGGGCATGTATTGTTCTTTGGATCATGCCCAAACATTTACCTGAGGCCTTAACGCCTGAGGGAGCTAAGCGGCCCCTGAAGCCCAGGTGTCCCCCCCCCCCCCCCCCCCCGCCACCGACTTAGGGCCTTAAGAGCCCAACGGTCTCTGGATCCGTTTATCAGTTTTACACAGCAGTTGATAAGATGGTGGTACCACAGGACAGAAGCCTGGAGTACGAAGCCTTGGGGGGTGGGGGTGGGGAAGCAGGGCCTGGACAGACGAAGGGGCTGTGAAGGGGGTTCCCACCTTCCCAGCAAGGCTCTGGGAGGAAAGATCCAGCCAGCCAGGCCGCTCTTTATCTTCAAAGTGGGGCGAATCTGCAAGGCTCCTGAGGGCAACCACCGTCCTGTGGCTACGTTCACCCAGACACTCCCATATCCCCTGAGTGCTCCCAGGGTGGGGGTCCTCTTCTCCCCAGATCTCCTCCCCGCTCTCGGGCACCTCAGAGCCCTCCACAGCAGCACCCACACCTGGTTTTAATCAGACCCATTCGTGCGTGCATGTTAGGGCCCCTGACGAAATAACTGGTACTTTCTCTGAAAGGGTGGTATTTTGAGAGCTTTTTTTGTTTTCTTCCTTTTTGTTTACCTGCATTTTCAGGAATGTCTACAGTAGCTTTTCTAATAAAATAATTAAACCTTGAAGTCATGCAAAAGTGAGTAAAGCATGCCCATACTTCACCAGCTAGCGCCTGAACACCTGGGGTCCATCCCGAGCCCCTCCGCCGCCCGCCGGGGGCGACAGCCAGGCTCCTCCTATCTGGTCACAGGGCAGGGCCTCTCCAGTTCTGGCTAAACCACTTTGGGAAAACCTCCTTTATATGACAGGCAAACAGGGTGTCTGTGGGTGGGGGGAGGAGCCAGAAGTGATTGGGTGCTGACACATGAACCCAGCACGGCCAGATCTCCTCATTTTCCTAGTTATTGGGGTGGGTCTGCCACGTCCCCAAGTCATTACTGGCTTAATGGCTTCTCTCTGCCCACTTTGTGTCTTCTTCCTTGCCCTCAGTGCCCAGCCAGTGTTACCCACAGTTGGGCACGTGACAGGTGCATTGGGTGCAGTCTAGCCTGGCTGACATTCATTGAGCACCTGCTGCATGCGGGGTCCCGGTGCCTCAGTGCCCAGTCCCTTAGAGCTTGTCCTCAGGAAGCCAGCGACCACCTCTGCTAGGGTTGGAAGGAGGTGCCTGTGAGGACACCAGTGTCCCCGAAAATCTGCACCCTGCCGTGCCCTTGCAGCTCCAACAAACCCCTGCCCTTCCTTCTCCCTCAGTCCATTTTCATGACTTCTTGTTGAGTTTTCCAATCACTGTGTCATCATCCAGAATGGGGTTTCTCAACGTCAGCACTATTGACCACTTGGGCCACCGGATCATTCTTTTTTTGTGGGGACTGTCCTGTGTATCGTAGGATGTTTAGCACTATCCCTGGTCTCTAAACACTAGGTGCCAGGAGCACCACCGCCCCATCGTGACAACCAAAAAAACATCCCCCGGACATTGCCTAATGTCCCCCGGGGTGGGGGGACGGGCAGAGTCTCCCCCAGCAGAGAGCCACTGGTCCAGAGTGAGGAAGGGGAATGGTGCCGGAGGCGGCTGGTGAGCCCGGGTGCGAGACAGCAGGAGTTGTCTATGTGCCGAGACAGTTGGCAACAAGGGAGAAAACTGCCAGGCCCCAAACCGCCTGTCATAGCAGCACAACAGTGGGGCCATTTAGTGTCCAGGGCAAACAGTCCTAGGTGTTTCTACAGCATCTCTTCGGTAACATTCGCGATAACGCCGAATCCGGGTAAGAACAACCACGGTGATCACACTGTTTCCTAAGGTCGGGGAGACAGCTTTGCCGTAAATATGTGTTTAGAAAGCAGACTGGTAGCTGCTTGGGGAGGAGGGGCCAGGAGGGGCCGGAGGAAACTTTCAAGAGTGACGGGACAGACTTCATTAGCTTGATTGTGCGGAGGGTTTCATGGGTGTGTACAGACGTCAAAATGGATCAAGTTGTACCCTTTAAACACGTGCAGTTTATAGCGTGTCAATCATATCTCGATTCATCTGTTTTTAAAATGTATTTGTTTCAAGTTTTAGTGCTTGAAAGGCAGTATTTTGAAAACTTACTAACATGCACTAGCCTGCTTCTTGACCATGACAGATAAATTGAGGGTCCTTAAGATCCATGTGGTACTTAAGAAGAAAACAGAAAAAAAAAGAAGACGATCACGGGCCTCAAGGCTGACCTAAGAAAGGAGGGAGAGCCAGAGTGAAGCCGGTGAGAGCCGGTCCCCCGCTCAGGGGAAGCGCAGGAGTTCTGCTCTTGGAGGACGCTATCAAACCAACGTGTCTGGAACCGTATTATCCGGGGCTTGGGGAAGTGAAATGACAAACGTGGTGCTGGCTGCCAGGAAGGGAACAGATGATTCTGGACCTTACGGGCT